GTTTTTTATTACTAATAATATACACATTATTAACTCTTTCAGATTAAACATTCCTGTTTCATAAAAACTGTATCTGTGCAATCATATGTCAAATTCTATTTAAAGAAAGTTTATTACTTTGAACGCTACATCGTTGCATATTTCGCTCGAAGCGTTCCTTACCATTTTGCAACGATTTTTATAACACGTTCGACTTGCTGGTAACTAAACGATTCGAAAAAATCCTCCGAATCCACCCCAACGCCAAAATTCGTCCTCATAATTTCGTCCGCGATTAAATTAAAATACGCTGTAGTACAATATTTATTTACTTATCTCCTCTGCTCAAATTGTCCATTTCTCTGCGCAATTTGGGCGACAATTGCGGAGACGTTACTGTATTATCGGTTCACTGTTCAAGTGTTCGCGCGAACAAACGTGTCGTCGGAAACGCGTGCGTTGAATCGAGCGACCTACATAACATTCCGACGAGTAATATTGCTAACAGGGAACAATAATAATCGCAACGCGATATGCAGTAGTAGTTTTCGACCGAAACTCGCTACCGTCCGTCGACGAGCAAACGGTGTTTGCAAAATGAAGTCTCGGGGAAATCGTGTCGGCGAGGTGAGTGCCGATGAAATGATAGCCGGCGACGTAAGGGTGTATAAAACTGGGGTTCACATTAACACCCTTCCCTACAGCAAAAAATTCAGGTTGCCCGATCGTTTTGTTGCGGGGTGTACGAGCAAGCAGCAGACGCGTGCGCGCGCGCGCGTGCGTGTGTGTGCGAGCGCGCTCGAGCGAGCGAGCATCACCCCTGGAATATCACTCACACGGTCGCGCGTCTCGCACCCACGCGCGGGGTCTCTTCTTACATTGCCGGTTGACTCGTGTTGTCCGGCTCTAGCGCTTTGACTCGTCCCGTTCTCCCTCCTCTCTCGCCTCCGTGCACATGACACACAGACAGCGTTCGGCACTTGGTTCCGGTACTCCTACTCTCGCGCCTTGTTGCCGAACGGGTGCGAGAGAGCGAGGATCGATCAGCCGGTCCTCGTCGGCCATTCATCATAAGAAAGACGCAGACGGGAGGACCGTGGTGTACGCGGCACGGATAAAGGGTCGGAAAGGGAGAGACGCTCGGGTAGAGCCAGAGAACCGACCAACGCGGAGAAAGGCGGGGAGAGGGAGAGAGCAGAGAGTGCGAAAGAAAGAGAGAGAGAGAGAGAGAGAGCAGAGAGATAGCGAGAGAGAGAGAGAGCGCGAGGGAGAGAGCTAAGAGTGCGAGAGAGAGCGAGAGAGAGTTAAGAGTGCAAGAGAAAGCAATTGAGAGAGCTAAGAGTGCGAGAGAGAGCGAGAGAGAGGGAGGGAGAGAGCTAAGAGTGCGAGAGAGAGCGAGAGAGAGGGAGGGAGAGAGCTAAGAGTGCGAGAGAGAGCGATTGAGAGAGCTAAGAGTGCAAGAGAGAGCATGGGAGAGAGCTAAGAGTGTGAGAGAGAGAGCGATTGAGAGAGCTAAGAGTGCGAGAGAGAGCGAGGGAGAGAGCTAAGAGTGCGAGAGAAAGCGATTGAGAGAGCTAAGAGTGCGAGAGAGAGCGAGGAAGAGAGCTAAGAGTGCGAGAGAGCGAGGGAGAGAGCGAGAAAGAACGAGAGAGAGAGAGAGAGAGAGAGCGAAGCGCGAGAGACATATGCATCGTGGAAAGTGGGCGCGAGCGAAACAACGATAGCGATGATGCGGTGCACCTGTAAGACAAAGTCAAATGGTTCGGGGTACGAAACGAATAAGAGAGACGAGCGACCAGAAGAGCCAGAAGATCAAGAAACGCTGCGGCGAGAACAGCACCGAACGTTGCCTCGCGTTTATGGTGAGAAAAAGATGGTGGAAGAGGATGTCAGCGGCGAGCGTGAGCGACGACCGAAGCCAGGGGTGTCGATAAAGGTTTTTTTTGTTTCTTTTTAACCCTTCAGAGAATACAATTCCTGGGACGCGGCGAAAGAGGGATTCCTTTATTCTGCATTGTTAAGGAGTCGATTTAGAAAATCGATTCTTAGACGATTTGTGACGAAATATGTATTTGGATATTGCGATCCGATTGCGCGGATCTTTCAACTGAAATGTTTTACAGGTTTTGTGGACGTCGGAACCGCGTTTAGGAACTTTTTTATTTTTCGAGTAATTATCGATTATTTTATATTATTGTTTATTAGTATAGTTTTATAAGTTTGTTAGTATATTTTATGTTATAATATAAGATCATGTTATGTATTTTATATTATTGTTTATTAGTATAGTTTTATATATAAGTTTGTTAGTATATTTTATATTATAATATAAGATCATGTTATATTTTATATTATTGTTTATTAGTATAGTTTTATAAATTTGTTAGTATATTTTATATTATAATATAAGATCATGTTATATCTGCAATTCTTATAGTTTATATCGTTTGAAATCGCATCTGCGCAATTTAATGGAAGACGAATGTTTCGCAAGCATTTAGTAACGAGATACCGAATATTACTATCCATTTTTTAGCATAAATATTGCGTTATTACAAAATTTAAGTATACGATCTACCCTTTGTACTCTCACCGAACAAAAACACGGCCTTTCTCGGTTTCAAAGTACTTAAAACTGTTCAATTTCTCGGTACGTTTTAATTGTACGTATTTACGGAAAATATAAAGCAGTTTGTCAAAATAGATTGCAATATCAAATTTCATAAGAATGTACGAGTTACAATATAATGAAACTGAAAAGTTCGGTTTTCTTTGTCGCAGTTATTCTTTTTAATTCTTTCTATCTCGCAGATCTTGATAAAAAATTGTTCTCAGTGTATCGTTTTACAAAAGAATTTTTAAATCCCGACAAAAGAGTGTCACTTTTGCGAACAGTTAATCAACCCTTAACCGGTACGACGATTTTCACAAAAGCAACTGGTGTATTTGAGGCAACGATGAAACCCCGTGTAAAAAATTTCCAAAGTGATACGTTAATCTAACTCTAGATAAACCGTTGCATTTGATTTTTAGCTAGCGCGTAATATAATAAAAACCGGAAAAATTAAACTTTTACCGCAGAATGAAATAGAACTGTGTGCGATATTGCGATCGCTCGTGAATCATTATGTTCTATTCCCAGCCGGTGCTTGAAATACAGTAATGTCTTTCTAATTGACGCTCAGATTGTCCAAAAAGATTGGGCAATTTGGGGACAGGAGATACGATTATTCGAGCTCTGCGGTTCGTTTTTATAGTTACGAATTGTCAACAACTATAAAAACGAGTTGCAATGCTCGAACAATCGTACCTCCTCTTCCCAAATTGTTCACTTTCGCGTACAATCTGAACGTCAATTAGGGAGTGTTTACTGTACAGTAATGTTTCTCTAATTGACGCTCAGCTCGGAAAGAAAAATGGACAATTTGGGAAGAAGAGGTACACGATTATTCGAGTTTTGCACCTCGTTTTTATAATTGTCGATAATCTGCCACTATAAAAACGAGCCGCAAGACTCGATCAATTGTATCTCCTCTTCCCAAATTGTTCACTTTCGCGTACAATCTGAGCGTCAATTAGGGAGAGTTAACTTTACAGTAATGTCTAATTGACGCTCAGCTCGGAAAGAAGAATGGACAATTTGGGAAGAAGAGGTACACGATTATTCGAGTTTTGCACCTGGTTTTTATAATTGTCGATAATCTGCCGCTGTAAAAACGAGCCGCAAGGCTCGATCAATCGTGTCTCCTCTTCCCAAATAGTCCATTTTTTTCTGCACAATCTGAGCGTCAATTAGGGAGACATTACTGTAACAAGAGAACACGGAAAACAAAATTTTGATTTCGACTACGAAATAAAATGACAAAAGACAAGGGCGGCGCGTCGTGCGTGAAAATGGAGCAATTTATTTCTCGAGACCGAGGAGTTTTGCTGCACGCAAAACATGTACGTAATCGCAGAAATACTTTTCCACGAGCCAATTCATCCGAGCGTTCGCTAAAGAGTGAATGGAACGCGATAATTTCGTAGAAAGCGATGCGAACCGGTCACGTTTAGAGCGGCAACGGGAAGCCAAGCCGTAAATGCTAAAAATCGAGGAGCTCCATCCGGGGTTGGGGAAATTAGGCAGCTCGTCGCCGCGTGTTTTAAGATTCTCGAGTGTCACTTGTCAACGGCAGGGGGGAGGAGGTGCAGGAGGGTAACACGAATATCGTTCGCGCGTCAACGGGGGTTGTTGAAAAACGAACGAGCTTCTCCGGGGCATTCTGCGACGCTGGAATATGCACTCGGCGTTGTTTTCATTCCTCCGCGCAAGTAGAAAGAAACTCCGTGACCAGACTTCATTAAAAAGTTGGGCCAAAGTGCGGGACATCGGCAGCGCGCGCGCGGCGTGGCGCGGCGCGGCGCGGCGCGGCGTTGGCAAGTTAAATAGCCATTAAAATTTCCGATAGGAAACCGCGTCGGTTCTGCCGCGCGAGTTCCTCGGGGCCGAAAGACGAATTCCCCGATCGATAGACCGTATCTTTTGCCGGGGCGGAGAGAATTTGTAACTTCATAAACATTACGAAATTAGCGATTATTGGTTTCACCGTGATATAAGGAAACAACGAATCGCCCCTGTCGGTCGACGCCCTTGACTCGACGAATTGAAGAACGAGCCGAAGAAGGACAGAGTCCCAAAGCTAGAGAAAGGCGGGTGGAGAGAGAGAGAGCGAGAGAGAGAGAGCGAGAGAGAGAGAGAAAGAGAAAGAGAAAGAGAGAGAGAGAGCGAAGGGGAAAGAGAAAGGTATAGAAGGAGGGAGGATTGAGAGAGAGAGAGAGAGAGAGAGAGAGAGAGAGCGACAGGGTCAGAAAGAGGAAGAGAGACGGAGGGAGAGAAAGAGAAGCAGAACCCGGTCCCTGTGTACATTCGTGTCCTCTTATTGGTGTGTCGGTGTGTCGTCGACGTGGCGGATGGTGTTAGTAGCCGCTCATTGGTGTTCGCCGCGGCGGCAAGCGGCGTTCACACGTTTCCCGTCATCCACTTCGGTACCCGGCTCGCAGTAGAGCGTCGTTCGTTGTACGGTGCGGTTCGTGACGTTCCGCGATCCGTCTCTGATATCACTTCGTACCGTTCGATATGTATGTATGTGTGTGACTGTGCACGCGTTTCTTCGTCGCTTCATCCCAGATTCAGAAACAGCAGAATCGTCCAAGAAAGTGTTTTCGTTTTCGCTACGTCTCCGTCACGTCGCGTCACGTCACGTCACGTCACGTCGCGTCACGTCACGTAACGTCACGTCTCCGTTTCGTTGTTTCTTTATTTTTCTCTATCTTTTACGTTTTGTTTATTGGTGAACAAGTGCGAGCAAGAGATCGGTTTGTGTTTTCCGCGGAGTTCCCTCTTAATCCGAAACCCCCTCTTCTCGCCCACCCCCACCCACCCCTCCAGTGCCAAACGTGGATTAAAAGACGTATCCTCAGGGAAAACGCGGCCGGGGAGCAACCGGACCTCAGGTATCGTTTTGCTGGTATCCCGTTCACGTTTCGTGGCGAGTCCTTCCGCGAAATTCCAGTTTTCGCGCGCGCGCGCGCGCGCCGCCGACGCAGCGAATTGTCGCGAGTAGCGCGCGCTACGAGACTCGGACTCGCGTTTTCGTCGCGTTCTCGCTCTCTCGTTCCGTCGTAAACGCGCTCTCGCGTTTCGCCGCGGCGTGCAAAACAACCGCCCGGCACCGATGCCGATTCCCGGTTCGTGTGCACGCTAATTGTTTGGGAACGCGGGCGACGGGGAAACGGCCGTGCAGCCGCGCGCGAACGATCCGCCTGCGAATTCTCGGCTAATAGTCGGCCGCGATTCCGCCCCGCGCACACGGCCGGAGAGAGGAAGGAGTCCCGTGGTGTTTTGTGGCGAAAACCGGAAACGGGTTCGCATATTTTGGCCCGCCGTCCGACAGCCGAACGTATTCGCGTCCTCGCGTCCGAGCTTTCTCGACGACGGTGTCGCGAGGTGGCCGCGATAGTCTGGACACGAGATACGTATACATAGGAAATCTTAATGAAACGTTGACACGATTTCGTGGGCCGCGTGCAGAGAAGAGAAGCTCCGCCGTGGGTAATTTTATGCGCGCCCGTTGTTTTGGCGAGTCTACGACTATGGGCGCGCTGTTTCACGCCGCGTTAAATTCCAGTTGATAACCAGAGGAAGAAAACCATTTCGCGCGAATACACAAGGGTGTTAGCTTGATGTTTGTTAGAGCGTTTTATGATTCGTTTCCTTAACGCGATGTTTAGCGAACAAAGTAGAGACAGAGGGGGGGGGGGGGAAGGGAGAGCGTAAAGGCTGGCACATATTCGCCGGTTTTATTGGCAGTAAATCTCTGAATTGGAATCAAACCAGTCTTAAGAATCAATGTTGTACGGTTTGCACAAATTCGCGCCGGAGTGCACGTGCACCGAAACGATTCGCGAAATTGCTTTTCCAACCGTTCACCGTTCCACGGCATCATTTATTACCGCGGCTCTCGGTCTATTCCGAAATACACAAAGACTGTATCATAATGTTTGATGCACTTTGTACGCCAGGAATTCGCGTGTCGTCGATTGGCTCAATTAACGAGCGCACGTTGCCGCGGTGATGAGAATCCACCGTCGTGCCGATAACTATGCGCGGAATAATTTCATTTTTCCGGATACAAGAGATCTTCTTCCGCGCGGAGCCGCGAACGAGCGAGTTGGCTAACAATCGCATCCTCCTAACTTCGGGAGGTTAAGTAATGAAATTTGGGCGAGCGTGTTGAATTGCTGGCTAACGAAAAGAAGCGCCGCCGTCGCGTTGGATACGGAAAGCCTATCAACAGGCCGGTCGCGGTGAGAGGGATTTCGAAGCGTTTTCTGTCGAGGCTGTTCGAAACGATCGGGGAAAGACACAGCGAAATCTGGACAAGATGGGGATACTAGCCCTTGGGCTAATGTTGCGGCAGAAGAATCAAAGTTCGTTTGGATTTCGAAGAAACGAATAGCGTTGACATTTAACCCTTTGCACTCGAAGCTGTTTTAACTGTAAATATGAGATCATTTTTCTGACTTATGGTATTTCTATTTTATACGACAAAGTGCATTTTATGCACATGAAACTGACTCTTGGGACTCGCGCAACGGTTACGCTCTTGATAATTTTTTAAATATAAACTTTGTTAATATCAAAAATTATCTTGAAAGGTGATATAACAAATTTTAGCGGTACTTCGGAGTCACCACTCGAGTGCAAAGAGTTAACAAATTTCGTCCGGCTCGATGCCGCACGGGGAACAAGCTGATGAGAGAACGTTTCAAGCTTTTCCAGCACAATTCCCTTTGCACTCGAAGCTATTTTAACTGTAAATATAAAATCATTTTTCCAACTTATAGTATTTCTATTTTAGACGACAAAGTGCATTTTATGCACATGAAACTGACTCTTGGGACTCGCGCAACGGTTACGCTCTTGATAATTTTTTAAATATAAACTTTGTTAATATCAAAAATTATTTCGAAAGGTGATGTAACAAATTTTAGCGGTGCCTCGGAGTCACCACTCGAGTGCGAAGGGTTAACAATTTTCGTCCGGCTCGATGCCGCACGGGGAACAAGCTGATGAGAGAACGTTTCAAGTTTTTCCGAAGGCTCCACTATGGAGACATTTGTCATTTGTTCGGTAACTCCGAAAGCTCCGCTGCGGAGCCAAATGTTTTTATCATACGTTATCGTCGGCGTTAGCAATTGTTAACTATAGTTAAAACGTGCCGAGTCTGCACCATTACGATTAAACCATTTTTTGACCTTTTCTATGGTTAGCAACATGGAGAAAAATAAATATTACGATGAGAATTTAGAGCCGAGTGATACCGAAGACGTATTTGATTTTGAAGAGTTGAAAAACGTTGTGGAAGACAATGTTGGTTATGATTCTGACACTTCGAGTAGCAGTAGCGAAATTATACTACCAAAGAGACGAAGAATGAGAATTATTGAAAGTGAACGCGAAGATTCGTTACAAGACTTAAATGAATGGCGCGATGTTACGGAAGAATTACATATTCCAGATAGAATACCTTTTAGCGTATTGCCACAGGTCGTTGGACCACAAGTTCCTACAAACTTTGAACAACCGATGCGATATTTTAAATTATTTTTCACGGACGAATGGGTAAATGAAATTATAAAGGAAACCAACGATTACGCGGAAAATGTTCTAAACTTGAAAGAAATATCTGGTAACTCTATTTGGCAAAGCGAATACTGCGACACTTGTCCAAGTAAACCCAGAATGCGCATGGGAGATTGTTACCAAAGATATCGGACCATGGTGAATTACAAAATTGAAAATTTATCTTTTATTTACAATAGGAAAATGTATACTTATAAAATAAATAAAATCAAGTGCGTTCGCAAGGACGCGTAATCTTTTCCGCTGAAAATAAGACTTCCTTTATCTCGGGCGCTCCGCTCCCAAAATGTGCCGGAGTTGCTGGTAGCCAGTACTTGAGAAACGTGCGGAGGGTTAAGGGTTAAAGAAATTTAATCTTGACTTTAAACATCTTTGTCTTACGTGAACTTGAATAAGCTTTGCTCGAACCTTCGACGGCATTCGAAGCAATTTCTAGTAAATATTGTTCGTTAACAAAGACAAAAAGCAAAAATGATTTCCCTACTTCAATGAATTTTGACAATTCATCGATGATCGAGCAATTATAATCCAGTTACTCGGTTGTCACGGCTCTTTTAATATGCGCAGAGCTTTATGAAAACGTTTTTCAAGGAGAGATACCAACAGCGAAATGCAAACGGGGAAAAATACGTGGAATGACTTATAATGAAATACTGCGCGGAGCGCTAAGGGTTAGATTTCGAATTAGACGGTCGCAGAGAGGAAAGTGAACCGAGGATTGAGATCGTAGAATTTGTAAATCGACCGACATTTTCGACCATGATTTTCGGAATTTGGAAAAGAACGCGAGTTCGTTTAATGTGCTCGAACAATGGGTGCGCTGGGTAACGTTTTCTGCATCGAACATCTGCGAAACGTACCTTCGGCGCGTGGGAACCGTGTCATTAATTATCTCCGGCGTCCCATACACGCTATCACATGGGTGGTAACGGTTGTTTTCGTTAACTTACCGGCAACAGCGTATCGCGTAACAGTAACCTTGATAATTGCTTTCAGTTCGTTTCGTTCGTTGCCAACTCGAGTGGCGATAATTATAGAAACACTAGCGGATTTCGTGTAGCCTTTCACGTAGTACCGGAAGTTACGTCGTACCTATCCACATTCCAGGTGCGGTGAACGGTGCGCGATCGGGTTTTAATCGGGTATGATTAACGCCAGTAACAAGATGACCCGTGACCGGAAAGTCGCTTCACGTACCGGGACACGTAACTTGCTAGAATTGTGCTGGAAAAACTTGAAACGTTCTCTTGTTCCCGTGCGGCATCGAGCTGGACGAAATTTGTTAACCCTTCGCACCCGAGTGGTGACTCCGAGGCATCGCTAAAATTTGTTATATCACCTTTCAAGATAATTTTTGATGTTAACAAAGTTTAGATTTAAAAAATTATCAAGAGCGTAACCGTTGCGCGAGTCCCAAGAGTCGGTTTCATACGCATAAAATGCACTTTGTCGTATAAAATAGAAATACCATAAGTTAGAAAAATGATCTTATATTTACAGTTAAAACAGCTTCGAGTGCAAAGGGTTAAATGTCAACGCTATTCGTTTCTTCGAAATTTAAATGAACTTTGATTCTTCTGCCGCAACATTTTCAAGCATTGATATGCAGTGAATACGAATTTTCTCGTTTTACTGAAAAATTATTCTGCGCGGATGTTATCATTGTTGCAGTTGCGAGAGATTAGTAACAATGATGATTTAACAAATTTTTTTATTAGTACGCTGTCGCGCATTAAAACATGATTCAACTGGCAATTTGTAAGAATTACGTTTATTGCTTTTGGTATATATTTAAACAGATTTTTGAAAACGTTTTAAGTTTACATTCTACAATTTATCTTGCGGATGTAAGATTTTTATGCGTTCTCTTTTTTGGGGGGCGACATAACTATTGTCTTCCAGTGTTCGGTTGAAACATGAGTTAATTTCTTAAGAATTTGAGTTACGGTATTTTTGTCCAGTCGTTTCTGATAGAATCATTTATGTACGATAACTGTAGGTTGTTCTCTACATTTTTGAAATCTTTAATTTAGATTAAAAAGCATCGATCAAGTAGAAATGGCAAGCAGTATACAGACAAATTATGTGGTCCAGTTTTAAATTCGACTTTCCTGACAGTTTGATCTCTTTTCTAATGCCAATCGAATGTTTCTCTATCGAAACAACTTCTCCTTTTTCACGAACAATCTAAATTCTAAGAACTATCTCGTGCTCAATAAAAAAACAACCTGGAGAGACTTGCAGATCTGTTATCAGGTAGCAAAATACAAAAAGTGATTCTTATATGTAAGGTGATTATATAAAGTGA